TCAAGGTGCCCTGCTCACAGCAGTGTAGCACAGAACTGAAAATCACCTGCTTCTTTGGGTGAAGCTCTACTATCCACATAAATACTCCACATTCAGTACCAATGTCTTCCAAGTTACTCACAGATAGTCTTCAAGCCCTCCAATGTCAACCTTCACGTACACCTGTGTCTAGCCCAGGCTGTCATCAGCTGGGCTCTGGCCCCATCAGTCACCAAGTTTAACAACATATTACTTAAGCATCCTTCAGGAAAGATAACTTGGGGAAAATTGATGAGAGAGAGAGCTGCACTGCCACATGCTAAGGTCAAGCTGGGAGGTCGTGTGGCAATGCCCAGGCCTCGGCAGCAAGGCGGTTTGAGAAGGAAAATATTTACTCTACAATGGAAAAGTATTTTTAAGAATTTGCAGGAGTTATGTTTCAAAACTGATATCCTATTATGCCACTTTAGTTTTAAAAATTCTCCAAGCTTAGGGCAGAACATAGATATGTAGAGAGGCTTCTAGAGGAAAAGGTTCAACCAGAGACCTCTCAAACATTGCTACATGTTCATTACCTAGAAATGATAATGAGGTGTACTGGCTGGTTTTGTGCATCAACTTGACACAAGCTATAGAGTCATCAGAGGAAGGAGCCTCAGCTAGGAAATACCTCTATGAGATCCAGCTGTAAGGCATCTTCTCAATCAGTGATCAATGGGAAGGTCATAGTAGGTAGTGCCATCCCTGCACTGCTGGCCCTGGGTTCTATAAGAAGGTGAACTGAGCAGGTCATGGGAAGCAAGCTAGTAAGCAGCTCCCCTCCATGGCCTCTGCATCAGCTCCTGCCTCCAGGTTCCTGCCATGCTTGAGCTCCTGTCCTGATGAACATCAGTGATAAACAACGCTGCTAGAGTGTAAGCTAAATAAATTCTTAACTCCCCAACTTGCCTTTTAGTCATGGTGTTTCATCACAGCACTAATATTTCTGGCTTCCTTTAAAATAAGACATTATTTGTATCATATCTATGTGAGGATTTTTCCACCAATATGCCCACAGGTAGAGGCTTTGAGAGGTGGGGTGTTTTTTTTATGCATGTTTTTAATTTTTGAGATTATACAAAATTACATCACTTTCCCCATATCCGTTCTTCCTCCACCCCCTCCTGTGTAACCCGTTTGTGCTCTGTCAGATTCATGGCCTTTTTCTTTAATGGCCACTACATATGTATGTGTTCTAAACACATAAACACAACCTGCTCAGTCCAAATAGGGTTATTTGTATGTATATGTTTTCGGAGCTGGTTATTTGGTATTGGATAGCTAATCAGTGGTCTCTTCTTAGAGAAGTCGATTCTGCTCTTGGATTGCTTAGTTACCTGTAGTTCCTTGTCTGGGATTGAGGCCACCTGAGCTTTCCCTCTTCCATGTTAGCATGTCTATTAGTGTCTTCTGGTGTTAAGGCAGCCATATTGGAATCATCATGGTGACATTTCTAGGAGACACAATCTCACAGCAAACTTTCTGTTCCTCTGGCTCATCCAAAATGATCCCTGAGCCTTAGCTGTGTAAGTTGTATTGTCGATGTATCAGTTGGCTCTGGGATCCACAACTCTGCATTTTGATAAGTTGTGGTTTTCTGTAATGGTCTCCTGTTGGAAAGGGAATTCTACTTAATTCAGGATTAGAACTACATTTATCTGTGGGTATAAAGACAAACATTTATAGTGTAGTTGGGGATTATGACAATTTGGTAAATTGGCAGTTGTAGGTTCTCCACCAAGATCCATAACTTCACTAGACTTGGGTAGTTGGCTAGGTTTCCAATACCAGGCATGATTTACCTCTTGAGAGTTGTTGATTTCCAGTACCAGGCATGGTTTCCAATTTGAGAGCTGTTGGTTATCACCAAGGTGGGTGTGCTACTATGATACCATTACATTCTCATGCCATGCTGGTCTTTGTTGTGGTTCATAGGTGTCGTAGCTAGGTAAAACTCCTTTCAAAGCTTGCATGGCACCTTCTGGTCATGAAATCTAGTCTTCAGGGTGATGCTTTTGGCTCGGATCCAACTCAGGTCCTCTGGGTTCTGTGTCTGAAGTGCCTGGTGTCTTCAGCAATAGGGACTTACCTTATACTTCTGGGAGTCTACCCAAGAGCAATAGAAATCAATAGTCTGTAAGGATTGGGGAATTTCTTGGGCAACTCTGACAAACAGCTCAAAGTGGGGCTTCGTGTGCCTGCTGTTGTGGTTTTGTTGGTCTATTGTCAGCCCAGATAGGAAATTTCAATTAAACTATATATGTATACACAGGTATATTATATTATGGGCATTTTAAGAAGATAGATAATAGTATTATTTCTTTTGACTTTTTCAGACACCCTTACTGTTATTTTACCTCATCCCACTTTTTGAATTTACCTCCCCCTCCCTAGTTAAAGCCCCCTCCCCGTTTTCCCCCTTTCCCCTTTTCAGCTCACGTGTAGACTGTTATTCCCTGTTTCTCACTTCCCAGCCCCCACGATGGTCTTTCTAACCTTCCTGTTTTCTTCAGTTATTGCTCTCAATGTTCCCAGAGGCTTTACTATGTTGTGTTTCCGTTTTCATTTAGTTCCTGAAATTTAATTTCCTCCTTTATTTCTTCTTTGACCCATTCATTACTCAATGAATCGCTTAATACTCATGAATTTGTCTATTTACTAAAGAGATCAGAGAGAAGAAGCAGCCATCCAAATCCACTTTTACCTACTTTAGAGGCTCAGCGGGCAAGAGATCGAGTTCCTTTTTCTTCCAGCTTATATCCTCTGCCCAATCATCTCACTTGTCTGTGCCCAAACATCTCACTTCCTGTTTCCACCCAGCTACTTTACTTCCTGTCTGTACAGATCTCCAGATCTCTATGGTGAGCTAGTGGCAAGCTCTACCCTCTGATCTTCAGACAGGCTTTATTTGTACAGCAAGATATCACCACTTATCCCCTTTCTGTCTAAAAATTTTAAAAGGTTATAACTAATTAAGAAAGTACATTCAATAAGTACAATAAGTATATATGATATATACAAGGAATATATACATATTATATACAATATATACATTAACAATGTCTAGTCCATTATCATTTGACAAATTCAGAGAAAATACTCCACTATTTATTCTTTAATGATGAATTCAAAGTCTTATACCTAATTTACTTTCTATTCCAATTTGCATTATCAAATTATCTTTCAAACCTATTACACTTAACACATCTTTAGTTTCTTTATTGAGTTTGGTAAACAAGGAAAATTATAACTATACTATCTAATCTTCAACTCCCTCAGAGACCAGAGAAGGAAATAATATTAACTAAGCAGAAAATGCAAGCAAGCAACTTATAAAATGTGAAAAAAGAAACAGCTGACTGCCTAGATGCTAGCATTCAGGCATCTGTACTGGCCTGTCCTTGGGGTTCTGATGGGACACACCCTCAGCTGCAGCCACTAAGAGCACCTCCTGTGCATATTCATTATGCTCTTTCTTTCTCTCCCTTTCTCTGTCTGCTCCACCCCCTTCCTCTCTCACACCCTTTCCTTTCTCCTGCTGCTCCTGTCTCCAGAGGCCTGCCAACCCCCTTCCCTTTCACCTTTTTATGAACCCTTTCCCTAATTAAAAAAAAACAAAACAAAACAAAAACAAAAAACCTCTGCTTGAACCCTGTTACAGGACTTTCTCTCAATGCCCATTTTTTTCTTTTTTATTATTTAAATTAGAAACAAGCTTATTTTACATGTCAATTCCAGTTCCCTTTCCCTCCCCTTCTCCCCTGCCCCCACCAACCCCATATCCCATCCCCTTTCTTCTCCCCAGAGAGACTGAGTTTTTCCATGGGGGATCCTCAAAGTTTGTCATCATTTGAAGCAGGGCCTAGGCCCTCCCCCATGTATTTAGGCTGAGGGAGTATCCCTCTATGTGGAATGGGCTCCCAAAGTCCATCCCTACACTAGGGGTAAATACTGATCCATTACCAGAGGCCCCATAGACTTCCCAGTCCTCCTAACTAACACCCATGTTCAGGGGGTCTGGATCAGTCCTATGCTGGTTCCCCAGCTATCAGTCTGGGGTTCATGACCTCCCTCTTGTTCAGGTCAGCAGCTTTTGTGGGTTTCTCCAGCCTGGTCTTGACCCCTTTGCTCATCACTCCTCCCTCTCTGAAACTGGATTCCAGGAGTCCAGGCTCAGTGTTTAGCTGTGGGTGTCTGCTTCTACTTCCATCAGCTACTGGATGAGGGCTCTGGGATGACATATAAGGTAGTCATCAATCTCATTATCAGGCAAGGGTATTTAAGATAGCTTCTCCACTATTGCTTAGATTGTTTATTTGGGGGACATCTTGAAGATCTCTGGACATTTCCCTAGTGCCAGATTTCTCTTTAAACCTATAATCTTAAACTACAACACTGGACAGTCACCCAAGGTTGCTCTGAAATGTTGGAGCATCCATATTTGGCCTATAGGCCTAGCATATCTGACAGGTATTTCTGTGGAGCAGGATATTCTGAAGGACTAGACTGCCTTGTCTTGGCAAGGTTTGTGGTCACTGTTTTTGGTGTCCTGTTTGTCTGATTTGGACAGCATATTGTCATCAGGGAAGGAAAGGGCACTTTCTTGCCCAGGGGCTTACCTTTGCCACAAAGAAAGTAAACTTTATGTCCATCATCTTCTCTGAAGTAGATTGGTGCTGCCAGGAACAGACATGTCTCATTGTCATAAAAAATAACATATGTTATTAAAATATTAAAAGCCATATTCTGTAGATCTTTGAAGTGTTTGAAGATTACCCATCTTTCTAAAATATCTGTAAACATACTTAATGTGTCTATAAGTTCAATTGATTAATTGCTAAGCTATATTTCCTTTGTATCCTATATAGTTGATAATAACTTTTAAAGACTAGAAATTTACATTACATTGTTAAATGAGATGTATAGATACAATATCTTGAACAATATCAGAAATGTATATATAGTATGTTTTAGCAAAATCAGTAAATATGGAACACTTCACCAATTTGCTTGTCAACCTTGTGCAGGGGTCATGCTAATCTCCATATCATTCCAATTTTAGTATGTATGTGCTGCTGAATCCATGACCTCCAGACCTCCATGGTTAGCTAGTTGCAAGCTCCATCCTCTTATCTTCAGACAGGCTTTATTTGTACAAGCAAGCTATCACCACACATTTATTTAATGATACAAGGATGCATTATATTCTTTTATGTTGCATTTGTTTAACTCTGTGAAGTTGTGTTACTTTGCCTGTGTAAAACACCTGATAGTCTAATAAAGAGCTGAACGGCCAATAGTGAGGCAGATAGGTGGAGCTGGCAGGCAGAGAGTATAAACAGAAGAAGAAATATGGAAGAGAAAGGGGGAAACAAGAAAAAAGAAAGATAGAGGACACCAAGGGCCAGCCCCAGCCACCCATGGAGTAAGAGTGAAAGTAAGATATACAGAAGTAAGAAAAGGAAAAAGCCCAGAGGCAGAAGATAATTGGGATAATTTAAATTAAGGAAAGCTGGCAAGAAACAAGCCAAGCTAAGGCTAGGTGATTAAGTAAGAATTAAGTCTCTGTGTGGGAGCTGCTGTGTGGTGTGCCCAGCAAAGAGCAAAAGATAAGAAAGGAAGGAAGGAAGAAAGAAAAAAGAAAGGAAAAGAAAAGAAACCATTTTTCAACATATCTCCAACAAGGCCACCTCTTTCCCACCAACTGGGACCAAGCATTCAAGCTATGAACCTATGGGGCATTTGTTCAAACCACCACATGGTCACATGATACATGGAGCTATTTCAACCTTTCGTATTTGTAAAAACTTATTTTGTGTCCCAGAATGTAGTCTATTGAGAAAAACTTCCATGGGCTGCTAAGTATAAGTATATTCTTTGGAGCTCAGGTTAAATATTCTGTAGCTCAATTAAGTCCACTTAATATATGATGTCATTTAATTCCTATGTTTCTCTCTGTCTGTCTTTTGTCTAGATGTTCTGTTTATTGGAGAGAGTTGGGGACTGAATCACCTACTATTAATGGATTGATGCTAGTCTGTGTATTTGTATATTTAATTCCAGTAATATAAATCCTATGAAATTGGGTGTACCAGAGTTTGGTACATATATGTTTAGGATAGTATTGTCTTCTTGGGTTAACTGTTCCCTTGACTAGTATGAATGTCTCTCTTTATCTCTTCTGGTTAGTTCCAGTTTGATATCTATTTCATCAGACATTAGGATAGCACACCTGTTTGCTTCCTGGTCCCATTTGATTCAAGTACTTTTGTCCATCCCTTTACTCTAAGGTTTTACCTATTTTTAAAACTAAGGTGTATTTTCCATAGACAATAGATAGGGGGATTTTTGTTTCTTGGTCCACTCAGCCAGCCTGTGTCTTTTGATCAGAAAATGAAGCAGCCAATGTTTAAAGTCATTGTTGGAAGGTATGTGTTTATTGCAGTCACTGTGCTAGTTTTGGGGGTGGCTATTTGTGTTCTCAGCAGTACTTTGTGTTTTAGTAACTATGGTCCCCTATTTCTTCCCATAGTCTCTCAGCTATGCCCATTCCTCTCTTCAACCTGAAATATTGCCTCCTGTATTGTCTTTCAGTTTGGCTTGTTGAATATAAAAATTTTTAGGCTATTTATAACATGGAAAGCTTTTCTTTTCTCCTTCAACAGTGGCAGATAGTTTTGCTGGATATATTAATCTAAGCTAGCCACCATGATCTATTAGAATGTATTGCTCCAGGCTATTTTGGCTTTCAAAGTTTCCAGTGAGAATCAGCTGTTATTCTGATGTTTTCCTTTACATGTGACTTGTGTGCCTTCTGTTGTAGCTTTCAGCTGCCTTTGTTATTTATGTCTAATGTTTTTAACTGTGATATACCATAGGGAATTTGTTTAATAGCCTTGTCTATTTGGTGACCTGTGTGTTTCTTCTATCTGCATGGATATATGTTTTCTTACTTTGGGAAATTTTTCTTCTATGATCTGGTCCATGTCATTGACCTACCATTCTTCTCCCTCATGTATTTCTGTAACTTGAATGTTTGGTGTTCTCATGGTATTCCACATTTCCCGTATGTTTCCTTACCTGTGTTTTTTGTTTGTTGTTGCTAGGAACATTCAAAGTCTTTCCTACTAGCAATCCTTATCTGTTTGTATGTTTACTTTGATTTTATGTGTATAAGTGCTTTGCCTACATGTGTACCTGTGTATCATGCATGTACAGACTCTTCAGAGGCCAGAAGTAGGCATCACTTCCCCTGGAAGTGGGGTTACAGATGGTTGTAGACTGCCATACAGTACTGGGAATGAAACCTAGGTCCTCTGGAAGAACAGGCAGAGCTCCTAGCTGCTGAGCCATTTGTCAAGCCACATTTACTACAAGCATTTTGGAAAGTAGTCAATTATTGTCAACTCTAGTTATCCTGATGATGGACAGAACACTATAAGAGATTTCTCCAACTTAGCAGCACCCTGTGACCCAGACTCTCTCCTGCCCCACCCTACCTTCACAGCTTCTGTTGCTACTGGGCCACTCTCCTTTGAAATAAACATGTTAACACTGAGAAACACTTGAGTGTCCCAACCACAGGCAGGTAGCTGCTGAGTCATGAACCCACCTAGCTTTTCCAATTGTCACAGCAAGAAACAACCTTCCCCCTCAGGCCACACCCCTTTTCTAGTACCAGGAAGTGGTGCCAAGCTCCTCCTCCTCTGCTTCAGCCAGGCACCAAGGTGCCTGGTATCTCCACTCCCTGCTAACTTAAGACCATTAGGTGCTTTCGTTTTACTTTTTTCTTTCTTTCTTTCTTTTTTTTCTCATTCAGAGTCCAAACAATACCTAGCTTCCTACTAAATAAATATTCAAGTAATAAACCAATGAATTAATTTCTTCTTCTCTCAGAAAAAAAAAAAACTAGGCCAAGGAATTCAAACCAGCACAGGCTAACATCATTCTGATAACTCTTGACATCACCTTGCCTGCTTGTGGCATCTTGCATAATCCACACATGCTTCCTATAGGCATCTTACAGAACACAAATCAAACCTTTAAAATGCACGTTAGAGCAAAGCAGATACACCTGGGTGATCACTGGAAAAGCAATTGTCAGGACCTCAAACATAGCCCCATCCCACCCCATCCATTGGGAGCAGAAGCCTGTCCTTCCTCATCCAATTTCTTCCTTCCCCCACAGACACATCCGTGCAAAGGGCCGGGGCTGTGCTCATCTTTCCTGTGCCTGCCACCAGGTCTCTTCTGTGACTTTGGAAAACCCTGAGACCCTTTAGACAAAGCACCTGATGGTGAGCACACCCCTAAGTAGTGACTATTATGATTATATTTTACATTTCAATTCTTGGAGCCCTGCCACATATTTCTGGCTCAGAATCAGAGAATGTATGCTCCTACTTTGAGTCCTTCCCTCAAACTCCAAGACCTGCTTCCTAGTTGTGCTCAGCAAACCCAACGTATTAAAACACATCAGTGAATTGGTGCATAGTCCCTCAGCATTGATTATAGAGTGGGACTTGTGCTGTCTCTGAGGGAATGATGTTAACAGGACCCATGTGTCTACTGTGTATCTTCATGACACTAGGTTACAGGTTCAAGACTACAGACAGATGGCCTGTAGGATGGAAGTCTAGACAGGGGCTGTCCCAGTGTCAGGCAATTGGGTGGAGTCATTTCCCCAAGAAAGGACTTGTAAGAAGGATTTCTTTAGAGGAATAGCTATCATAACCATTGAGCACTCACAAAAGCCGGAAACCTGGAGTGCACTAAACAGCCTGTTCCCAAGCCTCTCCCAGACAGCTGGGCTAGTCTTTTCTGGGAAGCTCCTCTTATCCCTGCTTTTCCCAGGATGCTCAGGGAGCCTCTACTTCGAGGCTGTTTGTCTAAGAGTGTCCTAGAGCAGTCCTTCAGCTTTATATACACTTGAGAAGGGAGAGGCCTAGTATATCTCATCAGTTTTAGGAACTTCCTGAATCTGTTTTGAGTTGTTTACTTCCAGGGCTTAGGGAACTTTCCTGTAGGATGGAATGTTTCACCTCCCCTTAGAAGAGCCTATTATTTTACCTCATTTATAACATCCCGTGTTTTAACAAGCCTCGCTCCAAAATCTAAGATTTAATCTTGGAGGAAATGGCTACACACAGTCTGTAGGCCCATTCCTGGAGAGGTGGAGACAGGAGGATTTAAGACACTTGATGTTGACTTCTGGCCTAGAACATCCAGATGTGTACAGGCACACCACATATGCTCAAACTTCTACACACATATTCATACACACACACCCTCTCATACACTCACTCTCTCTCTTTCACACACACACATTCATTGTTCATGGATTTTTCATTTAATATTTTCAAACTATTTGATCATGGATAAATTAGACACCAGGAGACAAACTTCAGACATAGGGGGCCACTGAGCAGTGAAACAGTTGTTCTGGGCACATGGAACAAAGTATGCAAAGCATAGGTAGAATGTTTTCTAAAAATTTATGGCAGTACTGAGCAGAAAGGGATCAGAGAAGGGCCGGAGCAGGAAGCATCGCTGAGTGTCAGCAATCTTGTCTCATTTAGAGAGTAGGCTTTGGGACAGCATCCAGGGTTCAAGACAGGAATAGAGTGTGGTGACTCAGGCTTCCTGGTGAGGGGGGATAATGAAGATTAAGGAAGTAAGAGCAGCTATTCCGAGAGGCTAGGAGAAGATCATGGAGGGCAGAAATGTTGGCACACTGGAGAAAGAGCACAAGTGAGAGGTGGTGTGTTGGTTTGAATGAGAACGGCCCCCACAGGCTCTATGTTTGAATACTTTGTCCCCAGTTGTTGGAACTGTTTGGGGAGGATGACGGGGTGTGACATTATTGGAGGTATATCACTGGGAGTGGGCTTTCAAGTTTCAAAAGCCTATGCCATTCCCAGCTGACCCTCCCTGCTTGTGGCTCAAGTCATAAACTCTTAGCTGTTGCCTCACTCTACTAATAGGGACTCTACCCCTCTAAAGCCATAAGCCCAAACACTTTCTTTTGTAAATTGCCTTGGTCAGGGCATCTTATCACAGCAGTAGTAAAGTAACTAAGGAAAAAG